AAAGTGACAACAGCACTTAATAAAATGACTAAAACTGAAATGAAAAACACCTTTGAAGAATTTTTAACAAAGTTAAACCAACTATAGTTTTAGAGTTTGCAGCAAAAATAAAACATAAAAACCTGATATAATTTACATTTTCTCGCTATGAAAATAGCCAGAAGCTGAAAATATAAAAAAAATAAAAGCTAATTCAAAATATTAATAAATGGTAAAATAGCAATGCCCCCAGTGTATAATAAAGATGTCATATATGTCTGAAATGCTTAAAATTGCAAAAATGTAGAAATGTAATGTTTCATGTATTACCGTTTTGAATAAATTTGATTTTCTACATTTAAAATGAAATGAGGGTGGGGGTGGTGACGGGGGATGCATTATTAAAGGGGTCCTATTACGCTCTTTTACAAAGTCTTGATTTTGTTTTGGGGGTGTACTAGAACAGGCTCTCATACTAGATTGTTCGAAAAACACATTATTTTTCACATATTTTACATTATTACAACACCTCTCTCCCCAGTCTAGCATGAAAGGCTTGAATAGTTCCTGTATCAGTGATAACACTCGTTGCCTTCTCTAGTGCAGCACAACCAGGTCTCGTCCCATCCATCGATATTTGTGATATCACAAATCCCGCAAAATATGCGTTGTAGTCCAAACGAGTCGTTCGTTGTAGTTTTTGAAAAGTTTCTGAAAAGTTTTTGAAAAATTTCTGTTAAATAAAATATCTCCTTTTGAAATGGACTTTGAGCTTTGTAACTTTGCAGATCTTTTTTATGCTCAAACAGCAACATTACAGACTAACTAAAGTTGAAAAAGTGAAAAAGCATAATAGCACCCCTTTAATTATTTTAAACATGCACAATCTTTAAATCCATGTTTTCTATTAGTATTACAACTGCTAGTGCGGTAGGTTGGAACAACAGCATTTTTTGTACTTGAGATTAATTTACACATTACACATAATTCATAAGAGATAAATAGGAAATTAAGTTAAATATTAAAAAATTAGACCGTCCAAAAAACACTTACAGATGTTGAAACAAAATGTGTTTCAACACTCCCTGACTTCTCATATTTTAAAATGCAAAGGCAAATTAGAATAGGACAGAAACATAAATGACATATCGGTGCGTTTACCCGGATGCCCTCCAGGCGCGGCAGCTGGAAGGAGAGCTCAGGGCTCAGGCTTGCGGAGGATGGGGTCCGGTGCTCAGCAGGCATGGGTCGAGGGGCACCAGCACTGTTCTCCAGGGGTACATCCTGCTCCCCAGACCCCGTGTTATAGTGCACATAAAGCAGCAAAGCTATGATGTTTATTATATAGATGTGGAAGAAGGCCATGACCACCACGAAGTACGCCCTGGAGCAGACGCTGCTCTTCTGGATGTGGAGTCGCTCGCGGCCGCCTGGGTGCCGCGGTGGAGGGGGGAAATAACGTGCCTCCCCCTCGAGCTCATGCAGGCGGTCCTCATACTCACCCATCTCCTAAATCACTGCTCGTCCGCGCATGGCCCTTCTCTAAGCTCTCATTTCAGCCGAGGTTTATCCAGCAGAGGTTACCTGGTTTGACAGCTGCTCACGGACATAACAGCCACGAGATGCAGACACCGGCCAGGCGCTCATAACACATGTCCAGCGTGTGTGCGGATTAGGATCTGCGCAGGAGTGTCTTCAGGCTGAACCGGAGGAGGAGGAGAGGAGAGGTTTAGGACGATGTCAGCTGCCTCACGGCGGGAGATCAAACCTGACAAGTCATACACACACCAGACTAATAATACCAATAAAGGCGGGGAAACGCACGAATCCTCTGTAAACGGAGGAGGAGAATAAGACCAGCGTTTTTAAGTGATGCTAGTATTCGCAGAAAGTTTTTTTTGTTTGTTTGTTTTTTTTATTAAATAATAGAATGGAATAGAACAGAATAGAATAGTTAAGTGCTAGTATTAGTTGGTAAGGTGCTGGCGAAAAAGATGTGTCTTTAGATGTTTTTTTGAAAATGGCTAAAGACTCGAGTTGAGATCGGGAGGTCATTCCACCAGCCGGGCACAGTCCAGGAAAAGGTCCGTGAGAGTGATTTTGTGCCTCTTTGGGATGGCACCACAAGGTGCCGTTAACTTGCAGAATGCAAGCTTCTGGAGGGCGCATAAGTTTGAACTAGCGAGTTTAGGTATATTGGTGCAGTGCCAGTGGTGGGCTTGTAGGCAAGCATCAGAACCTTGAATTTGATGCGAGCGGCTACTGGTAGCCAGTGTAACCTGATGAGGAGAGGAGTAACGTGAGCTTCTTTTGGCTCATTGAAGACCACTCTCGCTGCTGCATTCTGGATCAGTTGCAGAACCTTGATAGTGCATGCGGGAAGGCCTGCCAAGAGAGCATTACAATAGTCCAGTCTGGAGAGAACAAGAGCTTGGACAAGAAGTTGTGTGGCTTGCTCTGACAGGAAGGGTCTAATCTTCCTAATGTTGTATAAGGCAAATCTGCAGGACCGGGCCGTTGTAGCAATGTGGTCGGTGAAGCTTAACTGATCATCGATCACAACTCCTAGGTTTCTGACTGTCCTGGAAGGAGTTATGGTTGACAAACCCAGCAGTATAGAGCAGCTGTGATGAAACGATGGGTTTGCTGGAACCAAGAGCAGTTCTGTCTTAGTAAGGTTGAGTTGAAGGTGATGGTCCTTCATCCAGCTAGAAATATCTCTCAGACAGGCTGCAATGCGAGCAGCTACCGTCGGATAATCTGGTTGGAATGAAAAGTAGATTTGAGTGTCATTAGCATAGTAGTGATAAGAAAAGCCATGCTTCTGAATGACAGATCCTAATGACGACATGTAGCGAGTACTTCTGTACTTTTACTTAAGTAAAAATCTGTCTTTACAACTTTTACTTGTAATGGAATAATATTTGACCAGCAGTATCTGTACTTTCACTCAAGTAATGGAGTTGTGTACTTTGTCCGCCTCTGGCAATCATGTCAACGATATTGCTGAAAATGAAGTGTCCCCAACTAAACAAGCCAGAGGCGACAGCGGCAAGGAACCAAAACTCCATCGGTGACAGAATGGAGAAAAAACCTTGGGAGAAACCAGGCTCAGAGGGGAGTGGGGATAGGATCAAGTGGACAAGTAGTAGGATGATTGGAAAGGATAAGTTTGGAAACGTCCGAGAGTGGAGAGGAGGAGGAGAGAGAGTGTGTATTTGTCATTATGAAGTTATCATCAGTTTGTGGTGTGGGGAATTGGTCACTGATGGTTCTTGTTTTATTTGTGAAGAAAATTGCAAAGTCATCAGCTGTAAGAGTTGATGGAGGAGGGGGGGAGGAGGACAGAGAAGAGAAGAGAAAGTTTTGAAAAGTGTGCGAGGGTCAGAGCAGTTGTTAATTTTGTTGAAGTAGTATGACGTTTTAGCAGTGGAGACATTTGCAGAGAAGGAAGAGAGGAGTGACTGATACACACTCAGGTCGGTAGAGTTTTTTGATTTGTGCAAATTCCTTTCTGCAGCCCTGAGTTTAGAGCGATGTTCACGGAGAACATCGGACAGCCAGGGGGCAGAGGAGGTAGTGCGTGCTGGTCTGGATGAAAGTGGGCAAAAGTTGCCTAAGCAAGATGTTAGAGTGGAGCAAAGTGTGTCAGTAGCACTGTTTGTGTTCAGTGCTGAAAACTGAGAGGGTGAAGGAAGTGAGGATGAAACCAAAGAGGATAGGCGAGAGGAAGAGAGTGAGCGTAGGTTAAGTTGAAAGGTGACCTGCGGAGGAGTGTGTGCTGTGTCAGGAATTGGGACTCGGATTAACATCAAGTCATGTGATCATATTATCTTGATAAAAAAAAACAAAAAAAAACACGTGCCCTGATGGAATTTAACATCAGTTACCAATTAATTAATGTGGTCCCATGGGCATGGGCAGTATGAAGATTGCATTTATTGTGAGGATGGAATTTAGTTCATTTCTTCATTAAAATTCCTCAAGTGTTTGATAGAGTTCAGCCATGAGGCTCTCAGTGCATGGTGGGGAATTTGAGGAAAGGAGGTAGTAGTTGAAGTGGTGTGTCAGAGATGTTCATGCCACCTGCTCTTTACAGACTCATTTGTTGAGAGGATTGAGTATTGTTAGCCTCGCCTACTATTGGTATTTGTGGGGAACCTGTTTTGACACCTAATATTACCTAATAGTGGTCGGCTCTTAATTAAAATATTTATATTGCGTAACGATTTTTAAAGAAGTCTCTTAAGCTCACCAAAAGCCGTTTCGAAGACATTTATTAGATGTAAAAATTTTTTTATTTTGCAATACAGCAAGGTGAAATATCTACCACATAGGTTTCTGATAACTTAATAAAGAAATATACAAAAATATCAATCTATAGTATATACAATTTGGGAGTCGGTAAGTTTTGAAAGGAGTCTCAGGGATCTTATTTATGCACAATCAGCTTGTAACACTCCAAAGAGAAAGGAAAACTTGAAATCGCATCTTATGACCCCTTTAACAATTATCTTGAAATGCCAGTCGTCGTCTTAGCCAGATTTGTGTTTTCTTTACCCTAAACCTGAAAATATGCCTCAAACAAACTCTAGACAAGTACATGAATCCAAATGCTTCTAACTATGCAAGTGTGATTTTGTGCACTATTGTTGCAAAATGTGCTGGTAATGAAATTCAAGTACACACTGCATTCTCAGTGCTGCCAGCAGAGGCGCTATAGTGAGAATTACTGTAAATCGTGTCTTCAATGGCCTGTTTTCTAAAGAGAATCTTGTTGAGCAAGTAACACATCTGTGTATGCATAGTTTTCTGGTTTTAAAATTAAATGGTGAACCAAGCAGTAGTTTGTGGCATCATAAGTTGTTTGGCAGTGTATCTCATTAACCATTAGTTTTTCATAAAACCTGCTTTATATAATAATCATCAGCTTATCGTTTCGGCCAGAATTGTAATATCAGTGCATCTGTACTTGGATTGTTGTCTGATCAAACTTGATATACTTGTATTTTGTTTCTCACGTGAATTTTGTCTGCAGCTCAACTGGCTTAGTGTTGACTTCAATAACTGGAAAGACTGGGAGGATGATTCAGATGAAGATTTGTCCAACTATGATCGCTTTTCAGATGTTAGTACTTTTTAGTTAAAAAAATAGCTATAATTCACCTCCTGGCAGTATTGCCTGTTATTATGGGAACTGTGTGAAGAATAAGTCTGTAATTAATGTGGTCTACTGACTTTGTTTGTTGGTTTTAGATGATGGGCAACATGGGAGGAGAGGATGATTTACCTGACCTAGACGGAGCAGATGATGTAAGATTTAATAGTTTCTTCATATGTGTAATAAAGTTTAGTTTAATGGGAGAGTTAATCCAAATCGTTTACTCGGCCTCATGTCATTCCAACCCAACATGTTTTTTTGCGTTTTTTTTCATACAATAAAAGTCAATTGAGCCAGTGTTTTTGTTTTGGACTCCATTGATTTTCATATTATGGAGTCATTTTGAAAAATGAATTTGTCCATACTATGAAAGTCTGTGGGGTCAAAAACAACATTGTATGGATGAAACCATTGTTTTTATCTGGGTTTTTTTTTTTTTTTCACTGAAAAAAAAAAAATTACAGGTTCGGAATGACATGAGGGTGTGAAATTACACAATTTTCACTTTTGGCTGGACTATCAATAAGGGTACGTTTACACGACAACGGAAAAAAGTTTTCCCCTTGCGTATTAAAAAAGTTTCACGTATACACGACAAAGTTTTCAAAACGATTCGCGTTTACACATTGTAACGGCCAAAAACGCTGTATTACGTATGCCAGGCCAGTAGTTGGCGCTGTCTCCTTGTTAGTAAACAGGACCTGTAGGGAAGTGACGATTATATGATGTATATGATGCGTCTCCGCTGTTGTTGGTTGTAATATTGGTGAAGTAAATCCACACTTTGCTGAAGAAGCGCTAGCAAACTCTTAAACCGCAACAACAGTACCATATACTCCGCCATTGTTGTGTATGTTTGTTCGCGCTTGCCTTTAAAATCGATACGTACTGCGCATGTCTACATACCTAACACGTACTACGCACGCGCATGACGTCACCGTTTTCAAAGATTTCCGTTTTTCACACGGAAACGATAACGGTGTCGTTTTCAAAAACTTGCACTTTGAAGCCGTTGTCGTGTAAACGAACAGTCAAAACACATAAAAAGTTTCCAGTTTTTGGCTGAAAACATTGTCGTGTAAACGGCCCCTAAGTTTCAGATTAAACTAATGATGTGCAAAACCACTTCTTTTTAATGGACTAATTGGGGTTGTCTGAAATATTAGTCAACTAGTCACCTTCAAGGAATCCCAGTTTAATTAGGTTCACTTAGAGTAGGTCATGTCCAATCAGATGCATTTCTTAAGAGGGTTTTTGATCAACAGAATGGAATAGAACACTGAGGTCTCAACACGCTTTTGACAGGTGATGTTTTAACTTGACAGTACCTGAAAGGGGATGAATTTAGAGAAGTATTTACTGTGCTGCTGACAGTAACATGTTGACAGCAGGCTAAAATAGTTGCATCTCTAAATTGATCCTCTTCAACGCACAGTAAACCAAAACAAAAAGTGTCTAGATAAATGACTCATTATCACTAATCGACTATAGTGACACATTCTTGCCTTAAAACATGTAACGTCATCTTCCTGCTATGAATGACTTAGTTGATTTTCTTTTTTCAGGAATCAGCTGATAGTGATGATGAAAGTAAGTTTTTCCTCTTTTTCTAGCTTGTGTGTTCAGAGCGGTTACTGTTTTAAATGGACGGTTCTCTCATAATTTTTGTCCATCCGTTGAAGTCATGTAATCAATTGTCTATGTAATCAAGCCGAAAAGTACATACAGACAATAAACAATCCATATGAATCAAGGGGTTTAAAGTCTTCTAAAAAACACTATCAGTTTATATGATGAATATTTAATTTATTCATATATGAACACTGATCATCAAACATACAAAGAGCACTTTAAGGTGCCCCTATTATGCCATTTTTAAGGTTTCTAATATTGTTTTGGGAGTCTCCTACAATAGTTTTAAATGCATGCCAGGTCAAACGTCACTTTTGTTTTCTCAAAATATGCATTTAGTTTCACCTAATTTCCCGACGATCCTTAAACGATTCGTTCGAAGCAGTTCTAATGGTGCTTTTCCACTGCATGGTACAGCTCGGCTCAGTTTGCGATTCCATTATAGTTGCGCCGCTTCTACTGCCGTGCTGAGTGACCTCCTGAAAAACGTTTTCATTCCACGTCGTCCCATCAAGCTCTCGCTGCGTCCGCTCCTCGGCAATCAACGAGAGGAATGTCTGTACTTCCTCAACAGATCATGAAACAGCCATTATTTAGTTTTTTAAAAAGGTGCACTCGTTCGAAACTGTTGCATTCGTTCAAAAAAAATTGCGTTCGATCCTTGCTGGCTGTGCTGATTTAATATAGCGGGTCTCGTGTCGCAAGTTCAATGACGCAGGTAGTGGCGATTCTCTCCGGCCAATCAGTGATCAGCTGACACGTCACATTTGGGTAAAGGTACGGCTCGCGTGGAACCTCAGCCGAGGTGGTACTGAAAAAAGTACCAGGTACTGTGCACAGTGGAAACCCCCCCCAAAAGTGAGCCGTGCCGTACCATGCAGTGGAAAAGCGCCATAAGATTCAGTCTCTCTAAACCCCTCCTTTCCGTGAGCCTACTCTGCTCTGATTGGTCAGATGGTCCAGTCTGTTGTGATTGGTTTACCAAGTATCGGAAACAATACACCCATTGCCATAGTTCTGTATTGAACGCTCGATAGTAAATATAAACATCTATTATTTATCATACTTATAGGTTGTGATTCAGTGCAGTCACCTGGTCCAAATAAACTGGGTACTGAGCCATCTTTCAAGAGCAAGCGTTTTGTGAATCCCACATTAAACTCCCAGAGATTAGAGAAGCCGTCAGTAAAATGACGGGAAAAAAGATTGTTGCTGTACTACTGTGGGTACAGTGGAAAAATGAATTTTAACCACTGATTCTTTGCAGCCTCATCTTTCAGATCATCTTTCTAATTTACTTTCACAGTGTAGGACACGGCATCTTCTCGACATGACATGAACAAGCTACAGTGTTTAATGGCGGGTCTAGTTGTTCACGGCCAGCCAACGGAGAACATAGGCGGGCATTGTGCAAAGGTGTTACCCAGTGACGTGTAGCCATCACGAAAGTGGCATTCGAATTACTGACGACTCGTTTAGGCTGTTCAGAGTCGATTCCCTCATTTGGGAGACAATAACTTTATTTATCGTGCACTTTCAGCTTTACAACTTTGCAGATTGTTTACGTTCACATTAGAGAAAAGATTATATCGTTTAGCCGATATTACCGGCCGATATGAGCCTGTCACCGATATATCAGTATCTGCGGATTTTTTTTTTTACAGAACATATAACGCAGATAAAATGCTTGAAATGGTGTAATTACTTAGTTTGTCCAGCAGAGGACAAACCATTGTTTGCTACTGGCGACCTGGATGAAACGCTTTAAAGCTTAAGTCTATGGAAAACCATTGAAACTTTGAATGGCCATATCTCCGTAACGACGAGGTGAACCCGCACCAAATTCGGGGGATCCGTTCAGCTCGAGGAACCCTCTCGAACGCGAATTGAGTGTATGTCTCGAGGCCCTCTTTCGAATGAGACCACCCCCGCATCGATAGCCCCCGGGGTTCGGGAGTTACGGGCGGTTCAATTTGCGGTCCGGCGCTGACTGATCTAGCGATCGGGCTACCGACACGCGGAGGGTGGCGTTCGAGAGGGCTCCTCGAACAGAAGGGACCCCCTGAATTTGGTGGAGATTCGCCGGCGCGTTCACAAGATAGTGACACCAGTCAACACTTTCCCTTCAGTAATGAGGTCTCTTGTTCAGGCAGCATTCACGCGTTGTCTTAATCGACCGTAAGTGCCCTGCGAAGTGGACTTCACATGAAATTCCGCCATGATTCCAGATCCAAGGGAACGCACACGTTACATTCAAAGGGCATTAAAGTGCACGAGACGTGAATTTATATTTATTTACAGAGGTATATTATGTCACACTTCATACTTCTCTAGTAAGTTTCGTCTGTGTGTGAAGACAGTAGTGCAAATCCGTGAATGAATGTTCCGAAGTGAAATAAACTTCAACGGAATAAAGTTTAATGGAATTGAATTGAATTAAAGTTGGATAAACTTTAACTTTACTGTTCAGTGCACTGATGTTATACTCATTTTAGATAATAAAGTTTGTTAAATGCCCTGCCTCCATTACATATCTTTGTCACGTCATTATAAGTGTTTGATCACCACATTTGAGTGATCATTGCAAAAAATGTTTGTGTATATATATTATGTTTATGTATATACTGTATTCTATATATAGTACCAGTCAAATGTTTGGACACACGAATGGGAAATCTGTACTATAATATACACAAAGAATATTGGCCGATATATCGATATCTGCCTTTTTTACTCCCAAATATCGGTATCTGTATCGGCCCCCCAAAAAAACAATATCGGTCGGGCTCTAGTTCACATCTACAGCTACATTACACACTGCAATGAAAGGCAATATTTGAAATGGCATAATAGGGACACTTTAAATAAGGTAAACAGAAACTCAACTGTGCTGGCTTGATGCTCGAGAACAAACCTCACTGGTTCTTGCATGTCAAATAAGCATGTTTAAGCTTCATGCCAATTACTTTTACAATGTCATTATGTACTTTTTGAAGCTTGAAAATATTGTTTACCTAGACTTTCAATGAATGGACAAAAAAAATTAAGGTCTTATTCTCATTTGTGTTTTGAAGACGAACAAAAGTCTTATGGTTTTGAAAGGCCGTGAGGTTGAGTAAATGATGACAGAACTGTCCCTTTAAGTGTTTGTATTAACTTGACTCATTATGCTGAAGGATATTGAAAATGATTTACTGTCCTTCTTGATATTCCAAACTTGTATGACTTTTTGTATGAAGAAACCTATACAAACTTAAACAACACGAGAGAGTAAATTATGACCGATTTTTATACTTTTAACATGTTTGTGTTTTTCTCCAGAAATGCCAGATCTGGAATAAGCGACTGGCATGTTGTGGACAGACAGAGGAGGAGAGGGGGGTGACAATGAAAAGAGGAAGCCGTCACCTAAATGCTACATGATCTGAAAGAGAGCAAAGCCGAATTCAGTGAGACCGTTGAGTTCTTGAGCATCACCTCTGTTTACTCAGTGGCTGCACTCCAGAAGATCATCGTAAACCTCTGTTGAGAGTTCATATGCATATTGTTGTACAGAGCTTCGTTGTCCCTCTCCTTATGAGCAGTCCTGGCTTTTTTTTTGTTTTGTTTTAATCTGTACTAAAAACATGTATACTTAAACTGTTTGGAAAAACTGCACTGTATTCGTATTTTTTCAACCGAAAAGCAATAGATGTGATGGAAACTTTCTTTTTTTTATTGTAAGGCATTGAAATTAAAATGAAAAGTGAAACTTTGAAGAGTTGGAGAGGCTTGGTGTCTTGCAAAATCTGTGTAGCTTACAATCGTGTGATTTACAGCGTACGAATGATTATGGATTTTGGAAACTATAAGAAACTGTTATTAGACACAAGACTCGCCTCCCTAATATACTTCTCTTCATATGTCTCTTGGGGTGGTACCAGGTTTGTTGGTTGTTGATATTTTCTGACTCCAAAATTTCTTCAAAGTCTTAGATTAGCACTGTATTTCGTATTGGACTGTTAATGTCGTTCATATTATGACTGCAGTATGATATGTGATGCCTTTAAATGTAAAAGATGGGAAAACAGAAAGGTATTGTATGTTTCCAATTGAGTGTAAAACAAAAAAGACCATATAAGTTTGCACTAACAAAATTAGGTGTCAAACAGGGCTACATTTTGTGCACATTGCAGGTTGACTCTTATCAATGTTTCCAAAAGAAAAACAAATCAATTTTGTCTACATATTTCTAATAAACTGCTCAAAGCTTACCTTTTCATTTTCTCTGCTGAACAGTTAAACTGACAACGTTTCTTTACCATATTTTCATTCCAAACTCGAGGAACACAAACGATATTTAGAAAATGTAGTCTTTTCTCCATACAATCAAACTCAATGGGGTCCAATGTTGATTGGCAAAATATATGTTGCAGTCCAATGGAGAAAAAAGTAAGTTATACGGGTTTGAAATGATGTGAGGGTGATGGATGGTGACAGAAGTTTCATTGAGCGTAAACTGTCCAAGATGTAGATGAGTTTGTTTCTTCATGGGAACAGATTCAGAGAAATGTAGCATTGTATCACTTGCTCCCCAGTGGCTCCTCTGCAGTGAATGGGTGCCGTCAGAACAGCTGATAAAAACATCACAATAATCCACAACACAACTCCAGTTCATCAAAGATGGTTGGCTTGTTACAAACTCAGCTTTTCCCTGAACTGGAGCCTTGAGGGTTATTGTGATGTTTTTATCAGCTGTTTGGACTCATTCTGACGGCACCCATTCACTGCAGAGGATCCACTGGTGAGCAAGTGATACAATGCTACATTTCTCTGAATCTGCTCCAAAGAAGAAACAAGCTCATCTACATCTGGGAAGGCCTGAGGGCGAGGACATTTTCAGCACACTTTCATTTTTGGGTGAACTATTCCTTTAACAGATACAACTTTAGATCTGAGTAACGTATTATTGAAAATAACATTCACTAAGATTAATAAATGCTTAAGGAGTATTTTCATTGTAGCACTGTCCAAGTTATGTTTACTAATGCAACCTTATTGTAAAGACTCCTCTCTCAGGCAACCTGGCTTCAGTAACTTGTTCAAGGGCGTAATGGTGATGGGATATGTGAGCAAGTCATATTGCATGGGGTAAAATTGTTGTTTTTACCTGCCAACTCCGAGTACTTAAAGCAGCACTATGTAACTTTTGTCGCTCTAGCGGTTAATAAACAGAACTGCACACATCCCGCGGAACAACATTCCAACCGGATCTACTTCTCTAAGTTTACGTCTATGGCGAGTCACGCAGGTATGTGTTCCTCCGCAGCGGTGACGACCCGTCCAGCCTACAATAGTCCAAATATAAGTACTTATTATAAGTGCACCGGAGTGATTCGGAATAAGACAAACACGCGGGTTGGAAGATTAATTCATGATGTACTCGCTCATTATATAAATTTAGCAAATTTTGAACACAGAAAAAGTTACATAGTGCTGCTTTAATAAGCATCCACAGCTCGCAACATTTCGCCGCGAGGTCAAGAAGGAGGTGCTTTAATGCGGACACCCCTCTCTTCACACAGCCCTCAGCAGGGTGAAGCCTATGTATAATGTTCTGCCAAGTTAATTAAATATAAAAGCGGTCGCCTATTTAAAACAGGAGTATTCTGGGTAAATGCAGTCGTTTGTATATTTTGTATATTGGATGAATGGCATGGCCTCTACTTGTCAGTAGCGGACCATCGCTTCCTACAGCCGCACGGTGGCAGCGCAGCCACTCAACAGCCTCGCGCTGGGTCCTAAAGCCTGCCCTCTCAGCGCGCCACTCGTCCTCCGCACTAATGCAGCAGCAACACATTTGGGTATTGAAAAAATTGGTATGTTTTTATAGAAATCGATCATGAGTATTTGTTTGTACTTTCATGTAACTAAAGGAGTTTGTTTATTGCAACCGGTCCTGCTCTTTCACTCACCAGACCACACACTCTAAAAAATGCTGGGTTAAATATAACCCAGTGCTGGGTAAAATAGGGACAAACCCAGCAATTGGGCTGTTTTGACCCAGCGGCTGGGTTAAATGTTTAACCCAACCTTCAGGGTAGTAACCCAACCGCTGGGACAAAACAACCCAATTGCTGGGCTTGTCCCTATTTTACCCAGCACTGGGTTATATTTAACCCAGCATTTTTAGAGTGCATATTTAGGCTACATGATGGAGCAAATATTTGCAGACAAATGCGTTTCCCTTTTATGTTTTTGGTCTTCTGTATGAGTGTTTATTGTTTGTTTGTTTTTTAGATGCCCTGTCCCAAATGAAACCTAAAATGTTAAATCAGACACCCTACACTCTTGTGGAGTCATATGCGATGATGCCCATCAGAATGTTGAGACATGGGGACAGAATTTGACTGGGCCCCTGTGTATTTGCCAGTCAGAGGAAATATGTTATTATGTAAATTTACTAGCAATTTCTGATTGAAAATTCTTTCTACACCATTTGTTTTTCAGTGTGCTTAATGTTCAGCATCATTAGGCTAGTCCAGTCTTCAGTCTCACGTGATCTTTCAGAAATCCTTCTAATATGTAGATTTGCTGCTCAAGAAACTTTTTTCTTATTTTATTTTTTTGTGGAAAACAGTTGTGCTGCTGAATATTTTTGTGGAAACTATGATACATTGTCCTTTTTTCAGGATTGTTTGATAAATAAAAATTCAAAAGAACAGACATTATTTGAAATAGAAATGTTTTGTTACATTATAAATGTTTGCAGTATTTTTTTTTAAATCAATTTACTGCATCCTTGCTGAATAAAACAGCAATGCAAGATGGAAAGAATATTTGGGAAATTTTTCATATTTGCAACTGAATATCAGAATATCATAATAAGCTGCTTTTTCACTAATAGGGGCTAGGGAAGGTCAAACAATTTTGTGGGCATTCACCAAATCTAGCGGTTTAGTGTCCAGCAGCTGCTTTGCATCATTTAAAAAAAAAAAAAAGAGTACTATTTATGGAAAATAATACTTTAAAAGAAAATACTTAAGTGCAAACTGAATGTAGTGTTTTCTGACTCTTAACTGCATGTTAATTAAATGAAAATGTATTATAGTTTACAATTTATATTGCATGCAATTAACTGAACTTTAGAGTGTTTTTTGACCCACTGAAGTAGTCCTCTTTCATCTTTATACGCAATTTCATAATTACTATTGTCTGTGGAAATATGGTTAAAGTGTAAGGGTGAATGCACTGACAAACATTTATAATAAACTAAAATATGCTTTAATGTCATTTCTATTGAAACCAATATAAGTATTTAAAATATCCATCCATTCTCCAAACTGCTTATAGGGTTACAGGACTTTTGAAATATATTAACATTAAATGTAAAGTTATATAACACTACAGTTAAAAATGATAATCAAGTACTTCTTTGAAGCACGAGAAAAGATTATTAAAACTATGATTCAAAATGTAAAACTTTGAATTTGACATTATTACAAAGGACACTTTTAAAAAACTGAAAATGAACTCTCTTAAATGGCCTTTTATTTCAGTTCTATATTATCTGCAAGTATAGTGATTTAAGTGCCCATTCAGCACAATCAGGCACACTTCTTATTCACATGAGTCTTGAGGTCTATTATGTGCTGCTCTTTTATATCCACCTGAGAACCAGAAAAAAGCTTGGTGAATATAGTATTTTTTTTCATGTCATTACATTGTTTAGACCAGGGATCCTCAAATCTGGCCCACGAGATCCACTTTCCTGCAGAGTTTAGCTCTAACCCTAATCAAACACACCTGAGCAAGCTAATCAATGTCTTCAGGATCATTAGAAAATCACAGGTAGCTGAGTTTGATCAGG